GGTGTTCTGTCCTTGCTTATCCCAGTGCATCCTTTTCAGCTTGTGCTATGGCTCACAAAATACCCATTATATGGATAGTTAGTGATACACAAGGCAAAACACATGTAAGGGCCCAGCTCCTACTCTGCACATGAGTGAGGCCATCCAACTGCAATTGGGAAATGTGTCTCTAGCACAATCTGAATAGTTTCACACAGTGTGCCATCAATACTGTGTAACGCTCAACAATGCCATCTGATAAGGGAATTTGTCTGATGGCTCCTTATTTGTTTTTATCCAAAAATAATATGTATCATTATCGTTGTGGCTGATGGCTGGCTTTACAGGCCCCTCTGTGATTGCAGTTTTGCAACAGTTTTCACTATAAGAAATGCAATTTGAATAATGCCTGTATAGTCTCAAGTTGATTTATGCCTTTGGTGGTCAAATTAATTGATTTTATCCTGGAAAGCAGTATTTTCTACTTCTTCTGGGGGCGGGGGGGCGGCGGGGGGAAGCAATTTGTTTCCTTGAGCATACTGGTGTAATATTTGAAAACAGCATGAAAACAGCAACATCATCAATTCCACTCTGAACGAATATTCATGACTAATCCCACTGGAGACAGGAGACCAGGGTGTCAAGGACAGACGAGTGCTGATCTACCACAGTCCACGTTTTGGTCATCATTGCATATCCTATCAGCATCACCACATTTTCACATTGAATTCCAAGACCTAAGATTTGTAAGTTAGATTCGGAGTCTTGTCTACCATGTAAGTTTATGAGCTGATGCTGAGCGATGGCATCTGTGTTACTATTTCTGTCACTGCCTTTTCCCATCAAATGAACCGCACTTAAGCCACTGATCCTTATTTGTGTGCGTGTGAAAACGAGGCTGTAACTCAACAGAACGGGAATGACATACAATGCAGATATAAAACAATGTGAAAATGCATGAGCCTACTCTTCTGCTGGGCGTGCTCTTGAGCATAAACATGATACCACAGAGGCTACCTCTCATCAGTGCATGGAACATAATCACTGGAGGAAGTAGACAGGCACTGACAGACACTATGCCTGGCATCTCGGGTGTTTTGATTCGTTGGCCTGGCCCACTTCACAGGCCTTGGCACAAATGCATCTGATGAAAATACGTGTTTTAATGAAAATAAATCTCTGGTATCTCTCCTTCCCCAGGAATTAGAATCGCCTCTTATAATCTCTATTTGGGAGGTAAAAAGTAATCTTAGTCATGTTTTAAAAAACGTAATTTAGTGAAAGACCTTTTCCCAGAGAAGACATGTAAAGAAGGAATAGTTTTGCCCTAGCCGGTTTGGCTCAGTGGATAGAGCGTCAGCCTGTGGACTGAAGGATCCCGGGTTTGATTCCGGTCAAGGGCATGTACCTGGGTTGCGGGCACATCCCCAGAGGGGGATGTGCAGGAGGCAGCTGATCGATGTTTCTCTCTCATCGATGTTTCTAACTCTCTGTTCCTCTCCCTTCCTCTCCATAAAAAATTAGTGTGTATATACTAATTTTTTTTTTTTTTTTAAAGAAGGAATAGTTTTTCAGCAAAGGTCACCACGCTATCGTTAGGGCACATGGGTTTATGGCTCAGTTAAGTAAGACACACAAGGGGATTCTCTGGCCATGCTGTACCCCAGTTCACATCCCCCTCACCCCTGACCCAGCCCCCCAGGAAGCTCTCCGCCCATCTCAACCCCAAATCCCTTCCAGGCAGCAATGGCTGCAGGAGATGAGGTTGTTGTCCTTCCTTGAATTACTGGCTCCTTTTCCAACAAATCAGTGAGGGAAACAGAGGGGTGTATCTACCCAGAAGAAGGGCACAATTCTGCCCTCCCTGGTCTTGCCTTCTCCTGCTGCTCAGACCCCCGCCAGGCTGGGTTAGGAACCTGTGTGGTCATTCTTTATGTACCAAACGTTCTGTGTCCTGAATTGTGCCCGCGACACCCATGGCTTGACTCTGATTGCTGTTTACTTAACAGGAGCTTCTCCAGCTGGTTACGCACGTGGGTTGCTCTGTATTTTAGTTGTAACTCCAGTTTGGTCCTGGGAGGGGGTGAGTGTAATTTCCATCTACTGCACCGCCATCCTGAATCCCTGGTTGTGGTGCTTCTCACTAAGCTCATTGTAACTCAGTTTCCTCATCTGTGAAATGGGAATGTTATAGAACCTACCCCACTGGGTGCCTGGTAACCGTAGGCATGGATCCTCAGATGCATTTGCTCAGATTCTGTGTCTTTTGCTCCCTTGGCTTCTGGTCTACAGTAAGAGTTGATAAGTGTTTTTAATTCAGGGCCAGAGAGTATATACCTCGGGTGTTGAGGGTGTGTGGTCTGCTGCTACTCCTCAGTTTGGCTGTTGTGACACGGACACTGCCACAATGTGTAAACAAAGAAGGTGGGTTTGGGTTCCAACAAAGCTTTAGTTATGGACACTGTGATTTTAAATTCATATAATTTGCACAGGTCACAAAAATATTATTTTTCTTTTGATTTTTTTAAAAATCAAAAACCAGCCCAGCCGGCGTGGCTCAGTGGTTGAGCGTCTACCTATGAACCAGGAGGTCGAGGGTTCTATTCCCAGTCAGGGCACATGCCCAGGTTGTGGGGCTTAATCCCCCGTGTAGGGTGTGCAGGAGGCAGCCAATCAATAATTCTCTCTCATCATTGATGTTTCCATCTCTCTCTTCTTCTCCCTTCCTCTCTGAAATTAATTTTAAACATATTTTTTAAAAGTAAAAAGCATTCCCTATTTGCAGGCAGATTTGGCCTGTGGGCCATCATTTGTAGCCCCACCTATAAGATGCAAAATTTTCTATACTTTTTTGGTGAGGTATTTGGGCTCTGAAACCAGCCTAGGTGTGACTCCCAACTCCACTCTGGGCCAATGTGACCTTAGACTTGTTGACGAAGCTCACTGTATCTCAGTTTCCTCATCTGTGAAATGGGAATGTTATAGAAGGAGGAATGAAGGAGACAGGTTAGGTAAAGCATGTAAAATAGGGTCTGGCACAGAGCAGGCACTTCATAGATAATATTATGATTCTGATGAACATTTTCTGTTTTATTTGTGTTTCTATAAGGCTTTGCAGAATTTACTAACCATCTATTTCATTTCTTCTAATTAGGCTCAAAACTTTCCCTCCTCTAAACCAATAGATTTTGCCTGTGATTAATGTCACACACTTAATACAAAATTTAATATTTTAATTGTGAAATGATACATATCATCAAGTCTGAGTTTCATATATACATTGAAAACTTGCTTCTAAGAAATAGCTGACAAGCGATTAATAGTGCATAAGAAAAATCACAGTTAACAGAACAGCAGATAATTGAGCCAATTACATATTTTTCATTTATATGATGACTATGACTTTGTCTAGAGAATACTAAACATGCAGACGAAAAGTAAATATTTCGGATGAGGCAACCATTTGGATAATTGAAGTTTAATTAAATCTAGCTTAAAGTTCAATTAAATCACATTTTCTCTAAAACATCCTTTCCTGGATAAGCCGTTATGCAAAGTATTTCTTAAATGTCTGAGAAAATTGCATGAGTCGTAAAAATTACTGGCAGTAATGTCCCATTTTCTATGGGTGACATCATTCCCCAGTCACTGCCCTGTAGTGACCGGTACTTTTCTCGATTAACCATTGCAGGAAAGGTAAGGCATCCTACAAAGTTGTCGGGTGGAGGATGCTGCTGGAATGACCACTTCTAGGTGTTTACGCACCATAAACCAGCGGTTCTAAACCTGTGAGTCGCAACCCCTTTGGGGGTCAAACAACCCTTTCATAGGGGTCGCATA